TGAAATCTTACTCCCTCCTGTGATGGTACTAAGAGGGGTGCCTTTGGAAGGGATTATGTTCTGAAGGATACAGCCTGCAAGAAGGGATTGAGTACTCATATAAAGTGGACCCCAGAGAGCTCTCTGAACACCACCACCAAACACATAGTATAATAACAGGTAGCTCATGAGAACTCAAAAGAGGAGGAGATGATTCCTGGAAAATGCTGCAAAAAAAATTCAGTAGGTAGAAATACCTCCCAAGAAACTACGTATATCTACTTTAACTGTCCTTTACATATACCTCTATTATTAATTTGCATGCAACATTTTTCAAAGATTTGAATAAACTGAGTAACACAAGGAGATCAGCATTGCACAGAAAACAAAAAAGAACTGCCTCTAGTATCCAAAAAAATCGCACCTTTATGTATAACTAACTTCACAATTAGGTGTGCTAGCCCAAGAAGTTTGTATTAACAAAAACTAAAGATCATACAAAACATTAAAATCCTCACAAACCTACTCCCCCATATTAAATAGGGAAAAACTGAAAGCTTTCCCTACAAAATCAGGAACAAAACAAGGATATCAAAAATCACCACCAGTAAAAAACCAGTAAAAATTCCTTTTGACCCACCTCCTAGAATTAATACCAAATTCAGCATACAAAAATCAACATGCAAAAAGCAATAGCATTCCTGTGTACCAATAATGAATTTAACTATAAAGAATTAGAAAAACAATATTCTTAATTACATGGAGGAAAATTAAATATTAAGAAATTGACCAAACCAAGGAAGTGGAAGAACTCTACAATGAAAACTACAGTACTCTGAAAAAAAAAAAAGATCAAAGAGGATATCTGAAAATGAAAAGATATTCCCTATCCCTGGGTAGGTAAAACTAGTATAATCAAAATGGTCACACTCCTAAAATTGACATATAGATTTAATGCAATCCCAATCAAAATACCAACGGCAATCCTCACAGAAGTAGAGAAAACAACCTGAAAAGTCATGTAGAACCTAAGAAGTTTTTTGTTTGGGAGTAGTGGGTGTTTAGAGGCAAGAGAGCCTCTTTAGCAAATCGTGATGAAAATACTAGCGATATACATGCAGAAGATTGAACCTAGGCTTGTGTCTTTCCCCATGTAATAAACTAAAATCTAAATGGATCAAAGACCTAAATATTAAAACAGAAACAATTTCCTACATGGTAAAATAGGTAAAACTCTTGAAGACATAGGTGTAAGCAAGGCCTTTCTGAATAGAACTCTAATTACATAAGAAATAATACAAAGCATCAACAAGTGAGATCATATCAAGGTAAAATTTCTTTTATCTGCACAGCAAAGTAAACAACAACAGAGCAGAGACAACCTACAGAATGGGGAAAAAATTTCCCAGCTACATCATGAACAGATGACTGATATCCAGGCTACGTAAAGTGAAAAAAATTAGACCCCCGAAATAAAAGACCCAATCAAAAAATGGGCAACTGAAATGAGACACTTCTCAGAGGAAGTACAAATGGCCAATAAATGCATTTGAAAAAATATTCAACATCACTGGCCAGTAGAGAAATGCAAATGTAAAACCACACTGAGATTTCATCTTAATCCAGAAATCGAACAGTAACAAATGCTGGGGAAAAGGCACCCTTCTCCATTGTTGGACAAATGTAAACTAGTACAAGCAATACGGAAATCAGTAAAAAGCTACAACTAAAAATTCCTTCTGACCCATATATTCCCCTTCTGGCTATTTTCTCCAATAGTTAAAGTCATTGTATTACAGGGATACACGCATGCCCAGATTTACAGCAGCACAACTCATACTAGCTACATCTTAGAAGTGCCCACATTTACATCAACAGATGAATGGATAAATAAAATGTGTATTTATACACAATGGTATACTATTCTGTCATAAGGAAAGCTAAATGTCAATCATTTATAGGAAAGTGGATGCCCTGAGACCACTGAGTTAAATAAACTAGACACAAAAGTTTAAATATCACATGATTTCTCTTATATGAGAAACCCAAAGTATAAATCAATTAAAGACCAAAATAAAAGGCAGATGATAGGAAACAGGGAGCTAGATCTTTTGTAAAAAGGAAAGGGACCAAGAGATGGAGGGGGAAGAAGGGAATAGCAAGGCGAAGTAGAAAGTATTAAGTTATATACATGTATCAACTCCCAACAAAGAAGGTAAAGTTGATACTAACTCATATTAAGATGTATATGAAGCAGTATGATAAAAAGATGAACCCGTTTGGAACTGTCTTCACTACTTGAAGGACATTAACCCTTATCTTTCCCTCATTACCTTTCTAAGCACTACCCCCAGACTCATACCAAGTAGATGTAAGAGGTATACTCCTCACGTTCAGTTTCTGGGTATCTTAGATTACCTGCTGTTGTGGGAGAAAGTTTTACAGATATGAAAATTTTGGCTGAAAGGTAAAAATAGTCAATACTATAGTTGAATGCAGTTTTTCCGCAAAGGTTCTAGTGTTGGAGGCCATGATCAAGTGAGAATGCTCCCTGGAATGTCAGAACGGTTCAACATACGCAAATCAATACGTGTGACAGACCACATTAACAAAATTAAACACAAGAATCATAGGATCATATCAACAGATACAGGAAAAAAACACAAAATTCAACATTCTTTCATGATTAAAAACTCCCAGCAACGCCGGGCATGGTGGCACGCACCTGTAATCCCAGCACTCGGGAGGCTGAGGCAGGAGGATCATTGTGAGTTCCGGAACAGCCTGGGCTACAAAGTGAGCTCAACGCCAGCCTGGACTACATAGCGAGACCCTATCTCAAAAAGACAAAAAAAAAAAACAAAAAAAAAACCTCCCAGCAGATTAGGTATAGAAGGAACCTATACCTAATAGGTTCAACATAATAAAGACCATATAAGACAATCCCATAGCTAGCATTAGATACACTAACATCTTTAGAATATCCTAAAGATGGCACCAAAAGCTGTAGTAACTGACAAGCAATGCAGGGAAGTTGCAGGATACAAAAGCAATATACAGAAACCAGTACCATATCTATACACTCATAATGAACTATCCGAAAAAGAAATCAAGAAAGCAATCCCATTAACATTAGCCACAAGAATAAATAAAATTCTTAGGAACAAATTTAACCAAAGAAGTGAAAACACGTTAAAAACATACTGAAAAATTACCTATGACATAGGTCTGGGCATTAATTTTTTTTAATTTGACCCCAAAAGCACAGGCCAAAAAAAAAAGGTAATTGGGATAAAAGCAGACTAAAACCTCTGTACTACAAGGAAAAAATCAAAGGATAAAAGCGACACTTCTGGGATGAGAGAAAAGTTTCTCAAGCCATACATCTGATAAGGGATTAACTGAAAATACATAAAGAATTCAAACAACTCAATAAGCAAGAAAACAGATTATAAAACAGGCAAAAACATGAATATGTATGTCTCAAAAGAAGACCTACAAGTGACCAAACGGCATATAAAAAAATATTCAACATCACTAACCACCATTAATGAAATGCAAATTCAAACAACAATGAGATGTCACTTCACAGCTATCAGAATGGCTATTATCAAAACAATGAGGCGGTTCAGGAGGATATAGATAGAAGGAACCCTGTCATATGGTACAACCATATGAATTAGTGCAACCATTAAGGAAAATAGTATGGAGGCTCCTCAAAAAATTAAAATTGCAACTACCTTTTTAACAAGAGGGTACACGTTGGTTCATACATATGTCTTATCACTTTTATCTCCTCCCTGTCCCAGCCTCTTCTTTTCCCATGATCTCCTTCCCCATCTCCAAAAAGTCTATCTTCCTGTTTCCAACGAGTCTCCTTTGTTTCACTCAATTTTTTTATAGTTGGGGTTTCTCATGTAAGAGAAACTGTGCAATATTTAACTTTCCGTATTCAATCCATCCATTTTCCCACAAATTTAAAACTGCTACTTGATCTAGCCACCCCACTACTGGCATACAGCCGAAGGAAATGAAATCAGTAAAGCAGAGCTACACACACACTTATGTTCACTGCAGCACTCGTCACAATACCTAAGATAGTTAACCTAAATACCTATCAATGGATGAAGAAAATGTGGTACACACGATGCATACACAGCTCTGCTCAGCCTTCTTAGTATAAAATCCTGTCATTTATGACAAGATGGGGCTGGGGATTTAGCTCAAGGGCTGGGGATTTAGCTCAGCGGCAAAGCGCCTGCCTGGCAAGCGTAAAGTCGTGAGTTCGGTTCCCGGTACTGGAGAAAAACCAAAAAAAAAAAAAAAAAAAAGAGTTTATGACAAGATGACTGAAGCTGAAGGACATTACATTAAATAAAATATGCCAGAAACACAAGTATAGAAATACACACACTGTATGATCTCAGTGTATGAGTATCTGGGATGGAAAAGGAGCAGTCTCATAGCAGGAGAGTAGGATGGTGGTTACCATGGCTTTGGATGTGGAGTAGGGGTACAGCATTAAGGTGCATCAGTTAGATCTGCATCAGGTAGATGGGAGGGATGACTTCAAGAGATCCACTATGCAAGGGTGGCTGCAGTTAAAGACAATGTATTCTACACCCAAAATTTCTACGCAAGTAGACTTCCGCGTTCTTTCCATGTGTATATGAGAGGTAACACACGTTAATTACCTTGATTTACCTACTTCACAATGCATATGTGTTCAAAACACCATGTTGTACGCTATAAATAAATGCAATTTTTGTCAATTAAAAATAAGTAAATAGGGAAGGGAAGAGGGGCTGAAGGTAGGGTAGCACAATGGAAAAAGAAATCACGCTAAGTCACGCACAGGTAAAAATTCCTTACAATGAATGTGATCATTATGTATACCTAAAATGTACCCATAGACTTAATTAATTAAAAAAAAATAAAAATCATTTTTAATTACTGCCACAATCTGACAAAAAAGAGTAAGTAAAAGATACAAGTTGTATTTAAAATGAAAGTTTACGCACCTTGGCTTCCGGAAGACTAAACTGTATTGTTGGCAAGCGAGACCCACAGTGGGGGTGTACACAATAGGCATGAATTTTTCAACATCAGACATTAGTACTCTATAGAAGAGCTTTTCATTTCTATCTTGAAGATCCATTAAGAGAAGATACCTGTGGAAATTAGCCACAATTAGACCAACAGTTATGAAATAGCTGCTTAGAAATCTAAATATTAGGGGCCTGGGGATTTAGCTCAGCGGCACAGTGCTTGCCTGGCAAGCGCAAGGACATGAGTTCAATTCCTGATACCAGAAGAAAAACAAACAAACAAACAAAAAAAAAAAAAACAAAAGAAATCTAAACATTTTTCAATCAACTATGAAGTAATTTTAAATCATAGAAGAAATCTAAACACAAAACAATTCAGAAATATTCTTAAACCTCTCAAAGAATGAAGAACCGTACACTTGATTACTATCATTTGAACATTAAAAGCATTGCTTAAATCACACAATCTTATTTAATATTTGAAGACTTTATCACTATTTTAAAATGACATGAAAATATCACTATAGATTTAGTTTAATCCTTAACTAATTAAACTAAAAGGCTTAATCTTTTAACTTGCAATACTGAATAGCCAAGGCAAATAACAAGCAGGAAATGAGTCTGGGAATGTAAAATTCATATTGAAAATAACTAAGGTACACCCGGGGTGTAGCTCAGTGGTTGAGCATCTGCCTAGCATGTGTGAGGTCCTCAGTTCAATACTCAGTACCAAAATAATAATAATAATAACGTCAGCAAGCTGAAAGGACTTCTCTTACTATCTGTATCTAATGGCCTTTTCATGTAGAGGCATTTCTGACTCAGAGGTTGTTATGCTTTGTGTCTTCATGTCCCCCCAAGTCCTCATGCACTCATGGGGCAGGCTTCTAGATATTTGATTGGCCCATAATCCAATGCTGTAACTATGGGTGTGAGGGCTGCACCTGCCCTGGGGCAGGTAGTTTGCACACAATGTAAAGGAGGGCAAGAGGCTGCTTGACGCTGCTCCTCCCTGTTGCTCTTATTGCTTTTGCTGCCTTCCGCCACTATGAACTGTTGCCCTCTGCCACAAACTATAAGCTAAGTAAACCTTTCCTTACTTAATTTTGGGTGTCAGGTATTTTGTCTCAGCAATGAGAGAAAAGTAACCAAGACAGGGGTGTATTTCTAAACATAAACCTTCTCATGTTATGTTACCTGTAACCTTCAATACCTTATCAAATAAAACAAACTGCTTAGTACAACTGAAAAGAATTCTGCATAACTGTAATCATCTACCTCATCACATTTTGGGACTGATTTTCTGGTATGGTTTAGATATTGTTTGAGTCTGTCTTCAAAGAGGTCATGGGATAGAAGTATAGTTCCGTATGGCATTGTGAAAAGGTGGCAGAACCTTTAAGAGGTGTGGCCCAGTGAAGGGTAGTTAGGTCCCTGGGGAAATTGCCCTTGGAATAATGTAGTTCGCATGAGATCCAGGTTAGTTTCCTTAAAAGTGAATTGGCTTTTGTTTATTTGTTTGTTTGTTTTTTGATACTAGGAATTGAACTCAGGACCCCACGCTTGCCAGGCAGGCGCTGTGACACTGAGCTATATCCCAGACCCAAAAGTGAATTGTTGTAAAATAAAAAAAAATTTTTTAAACTTTTAAAGGTAAATGGATGCAACTTGAGACCATACTCATAAGTGAAATAAACCAGACGCACATGTGCAACGTGTATTGTCTCCCTAGTGTGAGAAGCTGAAAGAGTAAGTAAGATCCAAAATGTACAACGGATATTGTGAAATGGGAAGAAACTTCAAAAGGAAAGAGAAACTGGGATGGGGAAAGAAGAAAAGAAGGAAAGGAAAAGCAAAAAAAATTATATAAGGAGCTAGGGATTTAGCTCAGCGGCACAGCACCTGCCTGGCAAGTGCAAGGTCGTGAGTTCGATTCCTGATACCAGAAGAAAAACAGAAAAAAAAAACAAAACCAAAAAAAAAAAATTATATATATATGATAGTTAACATATTTATACTACTAACTCCCTTAGTTCATTGAAAAGAAAGGTTCGTGCTAATAGTGTTTGGACAATTAAATGCCTGCATCTTATAATGTCAGTAACTAATTTAAAGATAACAATACGCAATGCCTTAACCACTGTCACCCTCCTACTATTTGTTTTGAAATTTTGTTTTATTACCTCTTTAAAATAAAAAAGAAAGGGAAAAAAATAAACATTTGCAGAAAGATGAGATTAATTTTAGACATTCTAAAATTGATTTATTGGGGCTGAGGATTTAGCTCAGCAGCACTGCGCCTGCCTGACAAGCACAAGGTCGTGAGTTTGATTCCTGGTACCAGAAGAAAAACAAAACAAAAAAAAAAAACTAAAAATTGATTTATTAATAAGGAAGTCATCATTGGTAAGTCAGTGGTGGATTCTCACATCTTGCCTTATTTATCAGAACATCTGATACGAGTGACATTGCCTAAAGCGCAATACATTTTCTGTGACTTCAGCGTTGGTTTTTTAACATGCCACCTACAGAACTTTTCCTTGGATTTATACATGGCTAACATCCTTACTACTCTTGAGTATTTTCTCAAAACTCACTTTCCCAGTAAGCTATGCTTATCTCCCAATCTAGCAATTCAATGTGGCCGTCCCTAGCCCCAGAACTGTCAGTCCCTCCTCGCCCTATCTTACCTGTTCCCTTTTTTTTGTTCACGCTCATTGGTTTCTAGCTTATTATGTAACTTACCTTCTTACTGCTTACAAACTTTTCGTAACTTTAACAATTTATGTAAATGTCATGAAGGCAGCCCAGAAACTGGGTGCTTTATCAACAAGAGATTTATTTCTCACAGTTTTGAAGGTTGGAAGCTGAAGATCACAGAGCCAGATCACAGAGCCAGAAGAGCTTGGTTCTGGTGAGCGCCCTCTTCCCGGGTACAAATGGCTGACTTCTCACTCTACCCTCACATGGTAGAGAAAGAAGGGAGTGAGCTCTCTGACCTCTTCTTTTCTTTCTTTCTTTCTTTTTTTTTTTTTTTTTTTTTGTACCGGGAATCAAACTCAGGACGTTGCGCTTGCCAGGCAGGTGCTTGTGCCGCTGAGCTGTATCCCTGGCCTGGCCTCTTCTTATAAGAGCACTAATCCCACTTATGAGGGCCCCACTCTCATGAACTGATCACCTCTCAAAGACCCCATCCCCAAATACCATCCCACTGGGAATCAGCTTCCAAATATGCATTTGTAGGGGGACACAAACATCCAATTCACAGCAGACAGAGTGTACAGCTATTTGGTCAAACATTATTCCAGGCACGTCTCCAAAGAGGTTTTCCTGGGCAAGACCAATATTTAATTTGGTAGGCTCTGAGTAAAGCGGATGATCTGCAATGTTAACGAGCCTCACGCAATCAGTTGGATGCCACTCAAGACTGACTTCTTTTCCAACAAAAAGGTATTGCTCAAACTGCAACTCTCTCCTGGGTCTCCAAGATGCCGGCCTACCTACAGATTTTCCTTCTACCAAGCCCCTCCTCTTCTCCTCCCCTGCTCTCTCTCCCCATACTCTATTCCTTCTCCCTCTCTTCTCCTTCCTCTTCTGTTCTCCTGTTTTTATCTTCCTCCTCTCCTTCTCCACCTTCTCTTCTTTCTCCTCCTCCACTGTCTTCCTTCTTTCCCCCTCATATATACAGTACCTTTTCTATGTTCTGTATATTTATATCCTGTAGTTCCATTCTCTGGAGAACCCTGATTAATTCCTGGACTACCATTTTCAAATCACAACATGGTAACTTTCTCTTACAAAAAAAAAAAGAAAACAACAGTTGCTTTAGAGAAATTACATTCAGGAACGTGTTACCTGTCAAAGTAACTGGATAAGCTACCTAATCTTTAACCCTCACAATAATATTTTCAAATAGCCATTATTCTTTCTAACTCACATACACACAAAAATGAAGTTTACAGAGGTTCACTCCTTAAGAAGAAGGGGCAGAGTTAAAAGCATGGCAAGACAGATATGGTGGTCGTGGCAGTGGCTGTAATGCATTGCTAGGGGACCCAACGCGAGTGAGATACAGACAGGGTTTCAACCTAGGAATCTCTAACTCCAAAAGTAGAAAAAAGGTTATCTCATTCTGTGTGCAAACATAGAAACTGCACTTCAAACCAAGTGACCTAAATTTGCAATAGTACTAGAACTACGCTTAGAAGCTACAGCAGCCTATAATATACTTAAAGTCTGACTAAAACTCATTTTAGTCATTTTGCTCTGTTTAGGATGGCATTTTCTGATCATTTACCTTAATGACCACAATTTTTATATAAGAGAAAGGTAATCTCTCTGAGAATACAGTTTAGAAAACAAATTTTATTTCATTCACATGTTCCTAGAAAAAGTAAATTTTTTTTTTAAATCATATTTACAAGCAAATTATCCTCAAAGTTGACCACCATTTTCAAATCACAACATGTAACTTTCTCTTACAAAAAAAAGAAAACAACAGCTGCTTTAGAGAAATTACATTCAGGAATGTGTTACCTGTCAAAGTCAGAGTTCAGACGCTCAAAATTTTTAACTATTCTAAGAACCTGGAGGTCCTGACTGATGAAACTAGGCGGTAACAATCCATGAATGTTCAGTTGCTGTCTCTCTTCCAGAGTAAAAGCCAAGTCCTACGGAGAAAAAAAGTAATTTTAAGGGAGATAAAAGAAGCGTACACACACAAATAAAGCCCGGGAGGGGTATGGAATTAAAAATCAGAAGATCCGGCATCACTCTGAGGATTGCCGTGCAACTGCAAATAAAGCATGTAAGTTCCCCACACCTCAGGTTCTTTACCTACAATAATTAGAATACTGTAATATTTTCAGAGCTGCATCACTTATATACTGTTATGATTAGAACGCACAGGAGGAAACTACTTGAAGACACACAAATGAAAGAAGATATAACCATCATTAATGCCACCAAATATAAAAATGAATAGTAGTTATATAAGAAATTCTTAAATCATGAATATCAGTAGGTAAGCTGATACTTGCTATGCTCCCACCTCTAAAACCGGTCAGGCAATGCCTTATATGATTCTGAGGGACCTGTTTAAACGCCCCCCCCGAAGTCATTTTCTTCTATTCCTATGCACCCCTCACTACACAAAATTTGTCCCCAGTGTCTAAATGCACCACATCCTTTTATTCTTCTATGACACCATGGCCAAAGATGTCTCTTTAAATCTTATCTGAGATGCTCCCTACTCTAATAAGCTGGACATCCATTACAGCCCTATTATTATGGCTATGTTACATTATCTGTTTTACGAGAACACTGGTTTTACAAAACATAATAACAAACTCTGGAGATGAAAAACAAGCAAATAAAACAGAAATGATAGGCTGATACAAAAATTCGAATGGACCTAAGAGATCTGCTCCTTTCCAAGAAAGAAAAGCAAGGAATCCTCTGTAGTCATTAATGGGAGGTAAAATCTGGTCTGACAAGGCGTTCTCTGGAGGAGAATCCCACTGGAGATATGAAATCCAAGAGGTTTCCCTGACTATCCTGCAGGCTACTCCTTTGGTCCAGGATAAGGACTGACATGATGACAGTTGCTATAATCACAGGAATGTCTGTGTCCTACCGAAATTGACATGTAGAAATCCTCACCCCCTCTTGAGAGACGAGTAGGTCACGAGTGCTCTCTGCCCAGTAAACAGGATTAGTGTCCTTATGAAAGAACCCGAGAGTTTGCTGTATAGGGATGCCATGAGAGGACACAAAAGACAGATGCCTACGAACCGGGAAGCCCCTCACCAGACACCAAATCTCCAGCATTTTGATCTGAGGCCCTCAGGCCTTTACAACTGCGTGAAATAAAGTTCGTTCATTTAAAAGACACCTGGTGCATAGTATCCTATTACCACAGTCCCAAAGGACTAAGTCAGGTTTAGACGTTATGCTTATTGCTCTGTCCAGACAGCTTTGACATGGGTAAGAACACAGTTACTCACTGCACTGCCTGGTTCTACAGCCACCCTCAAACAATGACACCTGAGCCCTAGTGAAGTTTATCACTTAGCGGAAAAGCACAGATGATTTCTTTTTTTTTTGTACCAGGAATCAAACTCAGGACCTTGCGTTTGCCAGGCAGGTGCTGTGCCGCTGAGCTATCTCCCCAGCCCCCAGAACAGACAATTTGATTCATCTCTAAGGGAAATGACAGACCCTGACTGGCAAGGAATGAACGTGTTCAATGTCTGGACGTTTATAAAAGAGGTCAATGAATAGCCTTTTCTTTCTTCTCATTTTTGACATTAAAAAGTCCGTTGATTTATGTCTTTGGTGGAAAGGTTTATGTTTAAATAGCCTCTTGGATTGGGAGGTAGACTACTGACAGACAAATATATTTGTCCAAGGAATGACCTCCTCATAAGGCTGCGTTGCTTGCAAAGCTAAGTAGGACCAAGAGCTCTAGAATCTTCAGTACAAGCTATGCAGTCTTGAGTTTTCACAAGGTCTTCTTCAGATGCTATCAGCACAGCTAGTGTGCAGGTGCAAGGTATGTTTCTCCACTAGCAGCTGTTCTCACGGCTGCAGAAGACCCATGCTGTGTGCTCAGCTCCAATCCATACGTGTGGAAAATAAAAAGATGGCCCCTCTCCAAGAGAATAATCCAGTGTGCCTCACGGTCCCTGGCCCAGCCACCTCCTCTAGATGCCCAGGGAATGGCACACTAGTGCAATCTCCCAGTCCTTTACCCGGAAGTTTCACCCAGCACCGTACCGTGGTACTGCTTGGACTATCAGGCACTTACTCTTTATTTATGGTCCTATCCCCATACCAGAATGCAAACTACATGAGACTGAGGAATTTTATCTATATCCATTACTTTTTCCCTAGTACTCAGAAGAGTACCTGATACTAGAACTCAATAATTTAAGGCAGATCCAAAATAGTTTTAAATATTCAATTTTAGAAACACTGAGCTTTAAAAAAAAAAAACTACAAAATTGCTGGTCAGGAAATTGACTAGAATATGTGCTCTGACAAAATCACTTCTAAATTTTAAAGCAACCAGAAAGGATTTCTTGTGTGGAAAAGTTTATAAAATGAAAGATATACTTTACTTGTTAAATATGTAACTGGGAAGATTATTTAAAATAAAATGTGAAATACCTTGTAATGAAACAAAACTATGTATAATTTTATATATATATATATATCTTTGTTGTTGGTGGTGGTGGTGTTTTTAGACAGGGTCTCGCTGTGCAGTTCAGGCCGGCTTGAGCTCACTTTGTAGCGCAGGCTGGTCTCAAATTCACAACGATCCTCCTGCCTCAGCCTCCCAAGGACTGGAATTACAGGCGTGCGCCACCACACCTGGCTCAAGAAGATACTTTTAAAAAAACTAAAATTTAGGCTTCTTTAAGTAGGAAATGAAAAATGAGAAAAAAGAGTAGGGCATTATGTACACGTACCAAGTTCCTACGAGGAATGTGATATACATATATGAATGAAGGGGTCCAAGAGACGCAGGGACAGGGAGGGAGGGGAGAGAGGAGGGGTGCAAAAGAATCAAGATATGTGCAGGTACAAATTCCCCATGAAGAATCTGACCACTATGTACGACAAATATGTGCTAACGTTTTAAAAGGTATGTCATGTACACATACAAACTCCCCAAGATGTGTACCAATAAAAATATAAAACAGGAAAAGAATCAAAAATAAATATATACAATGAAGCAGTAACTGAATGTTATCCCTTGACAGTACGCTAGGAAAAATAATCAGAATATAAATATACCAGAAAAAAACTTGTTGTCAAAAATACTAACATATATTCCTTCGTTCACTTAACAATGGCAACAATCCTATTGCTGCAGCTAGTCTTTTTTTCATAAATTTTCCAACGTACAAAACCAATCTCTAAATCTAACAGATATTCTACATTTTATGCCATTGTAAGTGATAACACAATCCGGAAACCTTTTGATATTCTCTGATGTTTAGTAGCTACAAACTCCCATACTCTACTGGACATATTTTTCAAAAACATACTAACATGCCAGTTCATCTTTTTAAAATAACTGAGATAACTGGTCCAAGTTAAAGGTCTATAATTGGGTTCATGTATTAGTACCATTTATGAGTTTTTAAAAATCAATTAATAACTAAACTTAAATCTTACAATCCCGGAAATATTTTAAATATGAATAATGTCCTTTACATCAGTTTTTATTTTTCACATGAGCAGAGGCACATTCAAAGAGATATGTTTAGCATAAATTTGAAGACAGGTCAGTTACATCTAAAACTCAAGAATTAGTGCTTGCTTTGGCAGCACATGTACTAAAACTCAAGAGTTAAATGTTTCGAAGAATTTTTCAGAGAATGTTTCAAATATTTTTTACTTGAGTGTTATATTCCAGTGCCACCTACCCATCAAAGGATAATAAAGTCAAAGACATGTGCAAGTTCTAACATTCATTCGATTTCTACCAAATCTTTTGTGTGCTCATAAAGATGACATGTATATGCATACATTAAGTTTCTAGACCACCTTTAATTCTAATTCTCTAAAAGCAACCTCCTCTACTTCAACGTTGGTTTTCTTTCTTTTCTGTGTCTTACTTTCCCTACTGCTGAAGAAGGCATTTGGACTGGACCCCTAGACAGTAGAATGGTATGCTGTTTCTCTGCTAATAGCAACAAACAGGACAACTATTCCAGACTCTCATAATTTATCCATGTGTATCTTCCTGAAAAATCTAACACGATCAAGAAGAAATGAAAACAAATTCCTGGTCTAGGGACTTTGTATTAGAATTTGTATGCAGATATAACTAACAAAGAAACTTTGTTCAGGGTAATTTATCAGAGACCTACCACAAAACCAAAACAAATGTACTGTATATTGTGCACTAACCATCTTTAATGTTTCCAATGAATCTCAGTAGTTTGAAATTCACTGGAATTTTCCCTGAATATTAGTGAATTCATCCTCCTTTTCCCTGAATAATGAATATAAGTGAAGTAAGCTGAATCATAAAACAAAAACCTTAACAAAAATATTTAAATAGGCAATGTATACATGTGAGGTAATTCACTATTAACAGAATTTATTGACATAAATGTGTGAGGCTACTGCCCTATTACAGCAAAGATGGTTGTGTATTTTGTCCAATTGGTGCATCCCTAGTATCTGGAACAGTGGTGCTGAACCTATGTTATTGTGTTTTTCTTTTAAGACAAGAGACGTTTAGTTTTTTCTAAACTAAAACCTCAGTATTCAGGTTTAATTGCAGTGTTGGCACTGTACGATAAGGAAGGGGGTTTTGGTTGCAGTTTGGTACTTGGTCTCCGAAAGTTTCACCATCATTGGTCTAGAAAAACACCTGATATTCCGTAGCAGTAAACAAAACTGCGCTGAATTAACTAATTATTTGACGTTATTATACACTTGGTAGTGTACTGTATTTTTCAAAGATAAGCAGAAAAGTGAGAGGAAGATTTAAAAAAGAGAAGCACATGGGGAGTAATTTTTTTGGGGGGGGCAGGCGGTTTCCGGTACCGGGAATCGAACTCATGACCTTGCGCTTGCCAGGCAGGTGCTGTGCCACTGAGCTAAATCCCCAACCCCGGGGAGTAATTATTGTAAAATATCTTAAAAAGAC